TGTTTATAGTTAGCTTGGGGCAATATACAAGGTTGAAGTATTTTTTCAGAAAATAAAATTATGTATGTTATGGTAAACTACTATTTGGAAATAAACTCGGTGGTGAACGAGCTCTTCACAGCCACACGGGGACGATGGATGGCAGCAAAGAGGTGATCAGCCCTCTGACCTTGGAAGAACTCTAAGGAAGAATGCTGGCACCTTACAGGAGGACATCATTTTCTCTGTAGCTCTTCCCACAATTAACATCTGTTCTTTAGAGACCATAAGACGTTTTTCAGTTTAATTTCAAACTACTTCTGACAACTGAGAGAATTTCACAGTTTTACAACCTGATCAGCAGTCTAGGCTTTCAATTATTTGATGACTTGAGTATTTCATGAAGAAGTATTTTATTTTATTTTATTTTTTTTAAACCTACCCACTTAAAAATTATTTATTTATTTGGCTGCATTGGGTCTTTGTTGCTGCGCATGGCTTTTCTCTAGTTGCGGTGAGCGGGGGCTACTCTTCGTTGCGGTGAGCAGGCTTCTCATTGCGGTGGCTTCTCTTGTTACAGAGCACGGGCTCTAAGTGCCCAGGCTTCAGTAGTTGTGGCACACGGGCTCAGTAGTTGTGGCTCGCGGGCTCTAGAGCACAGGCTCAGTAGTTGTGGCGCATGGGCTTAGATGCTCCGTGGCATGTGGGATCTTCCCGGATGAGGGCTCAAACCCCTGTTTCCTATACTGGCAGGCGGATTCTTAACCACTGCACCACCAGGGAAGCCCTGAAGAAGTATTTTAGATAGAACGTTCACATTCACTTGTATTTCAACCAGATGGTTGCACGGGCAAAATTCAGTGGTGCAGCATCTCGCAGTGAACAGATTCAACCTGACAGTGGGTAAACATTTGATCCCTGGGTTTCAAGTTTTAAAGTTTCAAAGTGAAAAATAAGTCTTGTATTGAAATGACTGATTGTGGAATCTAAAGGGCCTGTGAGCATGCAAAGGTGAGAGAAAGTAGGGTGTTTGGGGCAAGGAGGGAGGTTGTTTGGGGGTAAAGAAGATAACTTCTAAGGGACGGGCAGAGGAATGCAGGACACTAAGGCGTCTGGGCTAGATTTCATTCTGAGTCAGCACTTGTTGGCTTCATCTGAGTCCTGGGGCCGAGGTGCAGCTCACAGAACTGAATTTGTGGTTATGCAAAATCTCTGAGACTTTGGGAGGACCTAAGCCCTGCTTAGGATTATTGATTCAGAGAATGATCTAGGTGTTTGTGTGTGTGTAGAAGGTGTATGCTCTCTGTCTGCAGAGGTAGGTCAGTGACATATGGTTTGGGTTCCCTGTGACTCCAGGCAGCCAACAGCAGGAAACAAGTACTGGAGTGAGGGTGGCAGTAGTGGGGACCCCAAAGAAAGCATATTCTTCTGACTCTCCTCACTTGATTGTGTGGGACAATCCAAATGTTTCCCCAGTTGTTTCTGGGAGTCCCAAAGAGGTATCTCCTGAGTCTTCTCAAATTATCTCAGTCCTACCTGGACCCACCTTCTGCCCTTTCCTCTACCTCTGAATCCATTTGGTAATGTTGTCCAAGAAGCCACATGATGACTGCATTCCAGTGGGTGGTGGCTGAGAGGACTTGTGTAAGAACACACCTAAGTTCCAGGGGAGACTCCCAGGGGGACTGGGGCAGGCTTTAGGGTCAGAGCCAGCAGAGAAGCATGCTGTGCATCTATTTGTGTAACACAGGCAATCTGTCACTTATTTCACATATCGTCACTTATTCTATATATCATTCAAGGCCCTGGAAGGATAAATCGGAAAACGACACTAACAACAAAACTAAAATAAAGAGACAAACAAAACAAAAACTTTGATTTTGTAATAACCTATAAGGGAAAAGAATCTGAAAAAGAATATATATATATATATATATATATATACACACACACACGTATATATGACTGAATCACTGTGCTGTACATCTGAAGCTAACATGACATTGTAAATCAACTATATTTCAATAAAATAAAACAAACAAACAAACCAGAGACTTCCCTCATGGTGCAGTGGTTAAGAATCTGCCTGCCAATGCAGGGGACACGGCTTTGAGCCCTGGTCCAGGAAGATCCCACATGCTGTGGAGCAACTAAGCCCGTGCACCACAACTACTGAGCCTGCGCTCTAGAGCCCGTGTGCCACGACTACTGAGCCCGAGTGCCACAACTACTGAGCCCGAGTGCCACAACTACTGAAGCCTGCGCACCTAGAGCCTGTGTCCTGCAACAAGAGAAGCCACCGCAATGAGAAGCCCGTGCACCACAACAAAGAGTAACCCCCGCTCGCCGCAACTAGAGAAAGCCCACGCACAGCAACAAAGATCCAATGCAGCCAAAAACAATAAATAAATAAATTTAAAAAGCGAAACAAAACAAAAACCAACAACTTTGAAACATGGCTCCTGTTCTCCAGGAGCACACAATCCCAATGGGGGCACACACACACACACACACACACACACACCAGGGCAACATGAGTATGTGTGCAAATAATGGTGCTAGAGTCTCTCTGACATTACGTCCTGTGGGGCCATGTCAGGAACGACTCCATAGAGGTGAGATTTTTGTGATGGGAACCATACTTTGAAGGATGAGTAAAATGTGGACAAGTTCAATTGCGAGGAGGAGAAGCTCCCTAGCAGAGAAATGGATGTGACAGAGACATGCATGAGGAAAAGTGAAAGCCAAGTTTGGGGGCAGTAGAAAGATCAGTTTGCCAGGAGTGGACGGTCAGTGTAGACAGTCCACAAAGCTAAGGCTGGCAGGTAGATGAGAGTCACGTCATGGAGGGTTTAAAGGAAGATAGAAGGATTGGGGATTTTATTCTGCAGGCGCTGGGGAGCCACCAAATGTTTCCAAAAAGGCAAGAGATATATCCACTGGAGATTGTAATAAAGTTAATCTAATAGAGGAGTTTAATATGCTCCTATGTGGGAAGAAGTTGGGCGGGTGATGAGTTAGAAGCCTTTAGCAATAGTCCAGGTGTGGGCTAATAAAGATATGCTAAGGTGATGGTGGAATATAAGGGAACATATTTAGGAAGAATTGTCAAAGTAAGACCATTCAGCAAATATTTTCTGAACATCTGTTACATGCTAAGCATAGACTAAAAACTAGAGAGTCCTAGGAGCAAGGCGGATAAACCCTGCTGTTGAGGAGCCTACACCCCAACGTGTGGAACACAGAAACACACAAAGAAATGAAATAGATAATATCCCATAACTATAGATACCAAGGAATCACTTAGGATGATTTCAAGTTACAAAATATCCAACTACAAGTGGCCTAAAGGATAATCACTCACACACACACACACACACACACACGTTCCCAAACAAGAAACAACCCAGAGAGGGCCATTCCAGAGATGGTTAATCCATAGACCCAACAGTGTAACTGAAGACCTAGCTCTTCCATCCACTGCACGGCCACCCTTAGGATGTTGGCTTCCTCCTTGGGGTTATCTCTCATGAACCAGTTTGGTTCCTGTAGCTCCAAGTACCACCTCTTCACATAGTTATGTCCAAAACAGGAATGGTTGCTTCTCCTCATTGCATCTCTTATGACCATTGCTATGGATTGAATTATGCCCTCACCAAATTCGTATGTTGATGCCCTAACCCTAATGGGGGTGGTATTTGGAGACGGGAACTTTGGGAGGTACTTAGGGTTAGATGAGGTCATGAGGCTGCGGCCCTCAGGATGGGATTAGTGCCCTTATAAGAATAAACACCAGAGAGCTTGCTTTCTCTCTGTCTCCCTTCATGTGTACAGAGAAGAGGTCAAGTGAGCACACAGTGAGATGGTGGTTGAGAAGCCTCACTGGGAACCAAACCAGCTGGCACCTTGATCTTGGAATTCTCAGCTGTTAGAATCTTGAGAAAATAAATTTCTATTATGTAAGCCACCTGATCCATGGTATTTTGTTATGGCAGCCCCAGCAGACTAAGACAATCAGAGGCCTCACCACAGACTTCCTCTTACTGCTTGTCCAGGGGTTTATTTTACGCCCATGTTGAAATCAATCATGGGTCAGAGGAGTGAAATGACTATACTGGATTTAGACTAGTCATTCTTCTGCCCCCAGGTCAGGGTTGGGTTCATTTTCTCTAAACACACAGGATGGATAAACACCCCAAACAAGCAGGAGTCTCTATGAAGAAGAAAGAGATGGAAGACGGGAACAGCTGTGAAGAAACCACGAGTGGTTAAGGGCTGTGGAGAAGATAATGTGGGTGGTAGAATGATGGTGTATTAGTTTCCTAGGGCTGCTGTAATAAATTTTCACAAGCTTGGTGGCTTGAAACAATAGGATGTTCTCTCATATTTCAGGAGGCCAGAAGTCTGAAATCAAGATGTCGACAGGGCCACACTCTATCAAAAAGCTCTAGGAGAGACTCTCTCCTTGCCCCTTCTAGCTCCTGGTGGCTCCTGGTGTTCCTTGGTCTGTGGCAGCATCACTCCAGTCTCTGCCTCCATCTTTACATGACCTTCTCTCTGTGTCTCTGTGTGTACTTTTCTGTCTCCTACAAGGATGCACTCATTGGATTTAAGGCTCATCTTAGTATGATCTTATCTCAATAGTTACCTTAATTACATCTGTTCCAAACAAGGTCACATTCTGAGATTCTGGTTAGACATGAATTCTGGGGGGACACTTTCAACCTACTACAGATGCTGCGTGACTGGGGCTGAGCACAGAACTGCTTTTTTTAAAATTTATTTATTTATTTATTTATTTTGGGCTGTGTTGGGTCTTCGTTTCTGTGCGATGGCTTTCTCTAGTTGTGGCAAGCGGGGGCCACTCTTCATCGTGGTGTGCAGGCCTCTCACTATCGCGGCCTCTCTTGTTGCGGAGCAAAGGCTCAGACACGCAGGCTCAGTAGTTGTGGCTCATGGGCCCAGCTGTTCCGCGGCATGTGGGATCTTCCCAGACCCGGGCTCGAACCCGTGTTCCCTGCATTGGCAGGCAGATTCTCAACCACTGCACCACCAGGGAAGACCCAGAACTGCTTTAATTGAGGCAACAAGAGAAGGCTTATTGGAGAAAGAGTATTAGAGTTGAGACCCAAAGATGAGGAGGAAGCTATCTGAAGCTCTGGGATAAACAAGCAGAAGGGACAGCAAGAGCGAAGACCCTAAGATGAGAATACGTGCAGTGTTTAGAAAGAATGGCAGCTTCTGTCTCTCTGTGATGTGAATTTCCTCACTAGAAATGGTGGTAAAGCAATTTCCTTTCATTTATGCCTAAAGAAACCAAAGAGGAGATAACTGTGTAACTGAATCCACTTAATTTGCCTGATGTGTTTGCTAAGGTCAAGGCTGTACTGTTGATTAGCAAGAATTCAGCTGAAATTATTTGAATCTTACTGAAGCCCCATGTAATAGACCAAATGATTTCACAATTCTCTTCCTTTGGTAAAATGTGTTCTTCAGAGATTAGAAGTCCAGTATTCAAACTCTCTTTGGTTCCTTTATCGGAATTCTCTGACAGACGAGACACACATTTGGAGCAGCAGGAGGGCAGTGGGATTTATTTAGTGGAAAGAGTCAAGAAATTTGGATTCTAAATTCCAGCTTTAACAGTGTCCAGCTATGTCCTTTGGGTAAGTCTCTTGACCTCTCTAGGCTTCAGTTTACTCATCTGTAAGGGGAGGTTGGACCAGGTTATCCCAGGGGTGGGAGAGGGTGGGGCTCTTCCAACTCAAGCTATCTGTGCTTCATACAAGGCCCCAGGAGCTGTCCTCTGGCCCTCTTGGGAGCTGCTCAGAGTTAATTAACACACTCAGCTCTTGGGCAGGCCAAGGCTCTGAGTGCAGTGTTGTTTGTAAGACCAATATTCATGAGAGTACAGTGGAATATACCTTCACTTAAACTCTTGACCACTGACATGGGGCCCAATTTCAGAGTATGGACTTACAAAGGCTTTACTCTCTACACCTTTCCCCCCTTGAGAATCTGCTCTGTCCCACTGGTTTTTCACACCTACCTTCTATAGGGCCCTCTGAGATTGGGAAGGAAAACCAGGCTCTGCAGCCCAAAGACCAGGGCTTTTTGAATAAGAAGATTGTTCACAGCTGTGTGTTTACCAGCTTAACCAGCTCAGCTTCTTCCAGTTTTTCATGTAATTATTTTGGCTGTATGTGCTGAGGAATACTGCAGCCTGACTCTTAAATTCACATGAATATTGCCTTACATGGAAATCCTAAACATGTTTTTATTCCATCCTTTAAGATTCTACTGAGCAGAGTTCGAAGCATCTTTTTCTCACTCTGTACAGAAGTGATAAGGTCCTTTGCCCAGGCGATGGGAAGACCAACTCATCCTGGTTGGCCCCGGACTATCCTGGTTTGAAAACGGAAAGTCCTGCCTCCTGGAAACCCTCTCAGTCTTCAGCAAACCGGGCAGTTGGCACCGTATAGTGGTGCAGTGGGGCTGCTTGGAGTCAAAGAAAGAACTTGGAGGAGTAAAGAAGCAAATTGGAGATGAAGCGTTAATTCTGATAAAAAGAAACGAAGTTCTGGGAAGGAACCAGGTGGCCAGGCGCTGCCATCAAGGAAGCTGTGAGCCCCACGGCTCTCCTCTCCTGAGGACAAAGCTGTGTAACCTTGTCCTGAGGAGCCAGTGTCTCTGGGGGCCTCTGCCTCACTGCCCGGCTGGGAAACGACCTACCTTTAGGCTTTCTGGGAATATTCACTCTATTTTTCTAGAACAAGGAATAGCAACATAACACATTGTATCAGGAAAATCAGTATGAATTCCTACCCTAAAAAACATCTTCTTTGCCTCTGTCACAGAACAGGCCCCAAGCAGCAATGGCCAAGGGCCTAGCACTTCTCCCCTCTACAACGCACCAGCGAGAAGCTTGGATTGTCATTTCTAATACTATTCTTTTATGAATGCTCAAAGCAATCAGAATTTCTTGGAAGTTAGTTGATTCCAGTTTTGGGACAGGAAAAACAGTCAGGCTTGAAACATCTCATTGCTGTGCTCTAAAAACAAGGATCTTTCAAGACTATCAGAGCAATGCTTGAGGAATTTCTATTAGCCTAGATGTGCAGATGTGAACATCAACTAATAAAACCAGTTATGGCAAATTGGTACAGGGTGAGTGTGTGAAAGGCTATGAGTTCATAATAATACTCCAAAATAATACATGCATAAAAATATAGTTATAAAAGAAAGGTGAATAGAAGAGTATATTACAATATGTAGGTATTATTTTTAAAAATATTAAATACATGTCTGTTTTAAAGTATTGACTTGTATTTGTTCCTCTCTGCCCAAGCAGGAGAGAATAAACACAGGGACCTGGGGGTCAGCAAGGTGTCCCTGAAAAAGTAGAACCTGTTCCAAGAACAGAAAGGACTCCTCAGCCTCTGTGATCACGTTTAATGATGAGGTAGGAAGGGGTTAGTGAACAGGAGGGCTCCAGGATGTGTTCCACACTGATGAATTATCCAATATCCTAGAGAGGGGAGGTAATCTTTCATTTTTTCAGAGATGGAATGTCAAGATGCGCCCACCAATGAGAATAAACTACTAATAAAGAAGACAGTCATTTTTAATAAAGCTAACAGACAAGGGAGATATATCAAAGTCATAGAGGGACCCACTAATATATCCAGTCGTGTAAATTTAATGACCACCTTATTCCTGAGAAAAAAGTCACACAAAAATGAAAATCTATCTGAAAGTGAGGGACATAGCAGTGCCCTGCTGTGATAAGAGGAGTATGTTAGTTATCTACAGGCACACCTCATTTTATTGCACTTTGCAAATGATGCATTTTTTAATGAATAGAAAGTTTCTGGCAACCGGCGTTGAGCAAGTCTATGGGCGCCATTTTTCCAACAGCATTTGCTCACTTTGTGTCTCTGTGTCACATTTTGGTAATTCTTGTAATATGTCAAACCCTTCACCAGCAAAAGGATTATGACTCATTGAAGGCTCAGACAGTGGTCATCATTTTTTAGCAATAAATTAAGGCATGTACAATGTTGTTTTAGACATCATGCTATTGCATACTTAATAGACTACAGTATAAAGTAAACGTAACTTTTCTATGCACTGGGAAACCAAAAACCCCGTGAGATTCATTTGATTGTGACTGTCTGGAACCAAACCCACAATATCTCTGAGGTATGCTTCCATTGCTGCGTAACAAACTTCCCCAAAGCTTAGTGGAAAGGGAAGAACGAGAGGAGCCAGAGGGAGAAAACCACATGTCTGGTGTGGCAGCAGAAATATTACCTACCAAGAAATAAGGAGGTCCAACGCTTCAGATATTTAAAGGTGGGACAGGAGAGTGGCTCCCAGACACAAGTAATTTTAAAGCTCCCCAGGTGATTGCATTGTGCACCAGGGCTTGAGAAGCACTGTTGTAGAGTGTGACTTGCCAATCTGAATCTACTTTAGTCACAGTAAATGTGGTTAGTGGTGGCGGGGGAGTGTTATTAACATTTATTGAGCCCCAGTTATGAATCAGTTTCCAAGTGAGGAATTTCACATGTAATTTCTCTTACTCCTCACAACAGCTCCAGGAAGCAGACAGTGAGTCAGTATTATCACTATTTCACAGAGGAGAAAATAAAAGAAGATTCGGTAAATCAGACTGTCATAAACAAGGCTTGACTCGTATACCGTATCAAGCAGTATTAACAAAGGCCCCGAAGAGAAAAGGATCTTAACAATAAAGCAGATAAAAGATAAAAGAAGAGCTGGTTTGGTAGATTTAAATCTAAGCTTGAAGTGGATTGAAACAGATGAAGCACTACTCTTGATATTTCTAACTGTGTAGAGTCTGTGTCGTGAAATTTGGCCAAGAGGAGAAATGGCACGTGCTGGACTACAGCGAGCCGGCCAGCAAGGGTTGGTGCGAGGCAGGGGAGGGGGGAAGGTCTGGTTCCCAAGGCTGGGGATGTAAACGTGGAGCCCCTTCCCCTTCTTTGCCGCGTAGTGGCAGTGCAGAGGGGCCCATACGCACAAAGAGAACATGGCGGGAACAGCCACTATTGGGCGTTGAGTAACTTTGCATGACAGGAGCAGAGAGTCTGGGAAGACGAAGCTGGGAAGGAAGGCTCAGGACATGCAGATTTCAGAGACCGGGGAGGCCAGGCCAGTGAGGACAGAAATGAGCCTACGGAACACCTCAGCCCCTGCTCCAGGAGGCAAACAGGCCATTTCCAAGTGGGCAGAAACAGGGGGTCTGGTTTTCTGGGATTGCTGTTGTCAGCAGTTAACAGAAAATATTTTAATTTAATATTAATAATTTATTTTAATTTTAAAATAATTTAATATTAATAATTTAAATATTTAATATTTTAAAGCAAATAAACTTATGGTTAACAAAGGGGAAGGTGGGGGAGGGATAAATTAGGAGTTTGGAATTAGCAGATACCAACTACTATATATAAAATAGATAAACAACAAGGTCCTACTGTACAGCACAGGGAGCTACATTAAATATCCTGTAATAAACCATAATGGAAAAGAATACTATATATTATTTTAGATACTCAATATATGTGTATATATCTATATATCTGAATCACTTTGCTGTACACCAGAAACTAACACAGCATTGCAAATCAACTACACTTCAATAAAAAAAAAATTAAGCAAATATGCATGTGCCCACACATCCATGCACACACGTTCATTCCTAAATACACACTGAACTTCTTTCCTGCAAAAGTGAACTTCATTCACTCAGAGAGTAACATGGTAGCATTCCCTTCTTGCAACAGCTGCATGTTCACCTTGGAATACAAAGCAGTTGATCATGCTAGACCCATGCTAGCTTTCCCTCTTCTGAACATATGGCCTCATTCACACCTCATTTACAGGGAATCATGTGGCTGTGTCTCTCCTCATGGGGCTTCAAGATCATGTCCCTTGGGGCCATTTCTTCTTTCTGCTAATTCACAAGGCAGTTTGAGCCATACTGGGAAACGACATGAGAAAGACTTCAGAAACCACTGGTGCCCAAAGAATTGGTTGGAGTCAGGAGCCAAGACAAACATGGAATGATGGCTGTGGTGCCAGGTACCAGATGAAAACAAATGAAAGCAAACCAACCATAAAATCAACCTCCCATTCTTGAATGGTGCCTCAGAGGCCACGGAATAGTGGCTCTGGCTTCCCGAAAAAGAAACCCTTCAGCAAGTAAGAACTGCCCGTGTCAGAAGCTGCAAGATGCTCTCCCCCACGTGGGGTCATTATCAGGAGTCTAAGCCTGGGACCAGAGCACCTCTTACCTCTATGATGCTGGGCTTGGGAACCAAACGTAATACATAAATACATACATATTAATGTGTTTTGAATCTAAGATACTTGTGGTCAAATGTTTCTCAGAAGCATGTACCAGTGGTTGCTAAAGACGTCCTTAGGCAATGGTGTAGGAAAAACAACAACTGGGTAGTTTAGAGTCATTTTTAAGTAATTACCAAAGGTATACCAAGCCTTGCCACACCACTCATCATTGATGTCAGAGTGACAAGAGGCTTCATATTGTAGGGTCACCAATCAACAAGCCAGCCCACAAATGAAGTGAGGGGAAAAGGCCCCAGCACACAGCCGCCTCAGACTTTACTTGGCTTTAGAGAATGCTGCCTAAAATGTATCTCAGGGGAAAGACTTGGCTGCATTTGCCTAGAGTTTGAGCCTAATGACTCTGATTACTTTTCTTTCCCTTTAACATATTTGTTAAACCCCTGCTCCCTTTTCTCAATACTGTGGTGAGTGTGGAGATTCTGATTTCTGTATAATATATTTTTGAAACTTTGAGCAAACCACTTAGTCATTGTATCTAACACAAAAGCTATAAACTTGATATGGAGAAAAAGAGAGAGATTTAGACAACCAATGTGTCATAGACATTTTTGGTTGGTCCTGTATCTTCTATCATTTTCTTCTTTATAGCCCTCATTTCAGTTTGGGGATCCATTTGGCTCTATGAAATCTGATTCCAGGGGTGAAGCATGTGACCCAGATCAGCATAGTTGACTCCCTGGTCATTGTGATTGGTTCTGGGTGGACAGGTGAGTAAGCAGATCTGATCGGAGTAAGTCTCAAGACTTTTCCTTGGAATTCCAGAACAAATATCTGCTCTCCTTCCTGCTGGATATGAATGAGTAAGCCCACAGCCCAGGGACCTGTTCACACTCATCGTGGAGCCACCCAGGATGTTGAGCAGAGACTAGACAAAAAGAAACTAGGTACTTAGTGACATTGTTGAGTTGCTGAACCAAGTGTCACATGAAGCTTCTGGACTTTAAAGCTATATGAGCCTATAGATTTCTTTGTTTGTGCAAGTCAAATTGGGTTGGGTTTTCTATCACTTGCAACGGAAAGATTTCTAGCTTTTGCACAGGACAATTGAACGATCACAGGGCAGAAAGAACCAAGAGACCAAAGAGTCGGTATTAGTGTGTACTTCATGCCAACTGGCTGTGAAACCTTCAACGAGCCTTTATGCTCTCCACTCTGGGCCTCAGTTTTGTCTCTGAAATATCGGTACATAGAGGAAGTAGAAAGTTGGGCTTGGTGTCTCCTTTAAGATATGTCCCAGCTTTAAGATTCTTTGAGTTCAACCCTCTTCTTAATTCATTGCCAACTGGCTCCTACTCCTGGTTTGCTGTTTCTATCAATGATTGCATCACACTCCCAGCTCTCTGGATAGAAACCTTGATGTCATCCCTGTATCCCATCCACCTCTCTTCTTTTTTATTTTTTAAAAAATATTTACTTATTTATTTGGTTGCACTGGGTCTTAGTTGCGGCAGGAGGGTTCCTTAGTTGCGGCTCGAGGGCTCCTTAGTTGTGACATGCGAACTCTTAGTTGTGGCATGCATGTGGGATCTAGTTCCCTGGCCAGGGATCGAACCTGGGCCCCCTGCATTGGGAGTGCAAAGTCTTAACCACTGAGCCACCAGGGAAGTCCTTCCACCTCTCTTCGTTATGCTCTATATCTGCTCAGTTATCAGGGCTTCTCAGTTCTTCTTCCTAAGCATCCCTTCTGCCTTGATCTGCTCCCTACATCTCCCCAGAGCGTCTACTCCCTTGAATCCATCTTCCTACTCTTGCTGGATTAATAGCCTCAAACAGACTTTTAGAACTTTACTGGATGCCCCATTAATGGAAATATGAAGCCTATATCGCTCAGCATGGCGTTCCATGTGGTCCATTCACTGCAGCCATTTTAGCTCTTTAACTTGGATTACCTACAGGTTCAACTGAAACATAAGAACAGAAAGTCTTTTTGAGGGTGAAAAGTTTATGCATGAACTGTGTTGATAGTCCCTTCCAAGGACTTTTGCAAGAAGTGTTGGCATCTGAGAGTAAATCTGTGGCTGGACCCAAGCTGTGGGGCATATATGCTGGTGAATACCAGACCTATCACCCTTAGAGCTAACAACTCTAGGCCTTCATAAACTCGCTCAGAACTGTGCGTCCTAGGAAAATGTGAATCTCTTTCAGAAGTTAAATGTATTTATTAAGGCAATATGTATCTTGCATGTGGTCCACTCTGAAATGGTGGCTTTTTAAAACATGTGTGACTTTAGCATAACCAAAACAGATATTAGTTAATGTCTAACTGCTCTACTCCTTAAAACATATATTAATATATTAATATACTAAGTATATACTTTGTTGAGACACTCTGTAGTAGGAAGCCATGGGAATAGTGACTGTTGACTTATTGTAACCTTGGAATTACTGCTGGATTGAGAGGAGAGAGTCTCTATTTGACTTTTTTTTTTTTTTAATAACAGAAACCCTGGCCCATGAAGGCCTGGGAATGTGCTGAGGCGGCCTTGTTTTTCTCCTACTTCCCGTGACAGGGCACTCCTCCCCACAAGTCCTTGCCAAGCCCTTATGAATGTTGAGTCAAAACATTTTGAATATGAGCTCATCACATATGAAAAGGGTTTAAACAACAGCTCAACATGTAAATGTACTATGGGCTTTTTTAGTCCATGTTTCAGTTCAAATTTCCTGAAGCTTGGAAAACTGCATGTAGTTTGTACAATATCTCAGCATTCCCCCTCTGAACTGAAGTAAGGCAGTTGGCTTTCTGCTATAGACTAAACAAATGGATAAAGGTTCATTTGAAGGAGTCATGTAGATAGTGTTCTATAGCTCTAGGCATTGTCTGTTTAACTGACTGACTTTGGGTGGATTTATATATACAGTGGCCTGTTGTGCTGAATTGGTGGTCAAAATAAGAATTAACATTTCCTTAAAACCACCTCATCTGGCCAGTTTTCATTTCAGCTGGAAATCAAGTCAGTGTGACATCTTAAAGAAGAACTAGATACAGTTATTGTCTCGTCCTTTATTTTCATGGAGGGAAGCAGGATCTGGAAGTGAATTAGGCTTCTTTTAGGACTTAGGGTCAGGGGAAACCAGGTGAGGGTGTACGAAGAAGACAAGAATGGCTTGGGAAGGGAGGATGGGGAGCTGAATTGTGAGTGGCTGCTTTGTCATGTCATAGACTGGATATCAGCACCTACTTGGTATTCTCTCTTATTGTTTTCTCTGAGGGGTGTTTAGTCCAGAACCTAATGACCATCCCAGTCAGAAGGTCATCTTGCTATCATGTACTTGGTACTCAAATAACTGAATTTGATTTTCTTTTGAGCTGCCCTAACTGCAATCCCTGAGATATTGATGGTGGGATTGTGAAGTATCCCTGGAGGTGACACTTACTTCCCAGAGTAGTGGAAAGGAAAGGAAGAGGACTGTTGAAGATTGGAGCAAGTGATTCACTGACCAAGGACGTATAAACCATATTAAATTTTCTCAACTAAACTCAATTTAATTTGGTGACTATCCTACATGTATTCTGTGATACAGCATGTAAATCACTTAGTACATTTACTGGTACATAGTACATATGTAGGAAATATTTGTTATCATTAGTTTCCTAGCACAGAAAACTAAGAGAGAGACAGGAATGAGAGGTCCGGAGGAGAGAGATTTAGAGAGAAGGAAAAAAAATTCTGGCCTTAGAAACACTTAAAAAATAAGTGTTAAACACTTAAAAAATAAGGGAAAAAGAGAGCCATATGTACTAAAACAAAACTTACTGTATGATCTAGTATTAAAGAAGGCGTTATAGTAATTAGTGATACTAAGAAAGAGAAAAAGGGGAGAGGCTTGTGGGCAAGAATTTGTGGGAAGGATTCACGAAGGAATTGAACGTGTAGTGGGACCTTAAATGAGAAACAGGGTGGAAATTCCAGGCAAAGAAATCGGCATGAACAGAGGCACAGGGATAGGAATGAACATAATATAATCTAGTAGGTTCTCATAACCTCTCCACTCTCCACTCTCCAAGAACAGGCTGACACACTCAACACAGCCTGCAGCCTGTTTATTAAACCACATTACTTTTAATAGTAGAAAATACACAGAGGCCAATTTCCTCCTCTGAATCAGGCACGTGTATCAGTTTTATGTAGATATTAATTGCCTTTGCCATATCTAAAATTTTATGCTTTTATGGGACTTCTCTTAAAAATGTCTCTCAGTCAGGGCTTCCCTGGTGGCGCAGTGGTTGCGAGTCCGCCTGCCGATGCAGGGCACACGGGTTCGTGCCCCAGTCTGGGAAGATCCCACATGCCACAGAGCGGCTGGGCCCGTGAGCCATGGCCGCTGAGCCTGTGCGTCCGGAGCCTGTGCTCCGCAACTGGAGAGGCCACAACAGTGAGAGGCCCGCGTACCGCAAAAAAAAAAAAAAAAAAAAAAAAGTCTCTCAGTCAAAGTTGAACAAGTTACTGAGTTGAATTTGGGATATAAAGTGATAAGCCTTTCAGAAGGCAGACGTGACCTCAGTGGAATGTAGGGTCACACATGAAGAGGCTCTAAAAATGTGCGACCCCTGGGATATACTATATGTCTTTCTTTTTATCTTTGCCTTCTCTTTCAGTTGTCCAGTTTGCAAAGCAGGAAAAAAAAAAAAAGCAGATCTTTCTTTAGATGACTCTGAAACAATGCTTACCACCAAGAGTAGAGACAAGAGGTCTACCTCTCCTTGATAACTTGGGGTTCTCCCCAAAACCCTAAAGTGTAGGGCTCTTTGGGAGCCTGGTGTGGCTGGTGCCTTTCCAAATACATGTTGGTGGGGATTAAACAAGGAGAAAGAAATACCCAATATTAGATAAACATACTTCTTCCTGCCCTGTTATACAGTTTTGTAAATGATAGTAAAACCTCGCTTATTCAGACTTACAATGATTGAAGGGCAGACCAGGTTAGCGAGTGACCTGAAATATTGAAAATTACAAAAAGGATGCATTATTATAACTAATATGTATATGTAATGACATGAATTAGTGGCTAAGAAAGTGTCCTCAGCATTCCCAGGTTAAGGTCTTTGCTGATTTGCTTTAATGCACTGAGAAAGCCCATTTGCATTTAGCGTGTTTCTTACTGGTATCAAATATTTCCTGCTGAACTATTTGAAAATAGCTTATTCTCCTGAGTAGTTTAGAATTCCTCTTTTTTACATTGTTGCTGACATTAAAGAACATGTTATAAAATCTTCTGATGGTATAAACTTTAGACCACTTTTTATCCAACTAATGGTTAGCACATTATTGAGGACTGGGTTAATTAGGCTTTAGCGTGGATATTGTTTGGGGAAGTTGCTAAGCCTCTGCTGAGGAATGATTAAGAGAAGGAGCAAAGCGGAGGCAAGGCATTCAACAAATGTTTGTTGAGTCTTTCTCTTTCCTGCCCAAACGGGACTTATGTGGTAAATTGGGCTAATATGGGTACAGTAGTTAAAAACAAAAATAAACAACACCCACACGTTCTACAAACCGCAATTTAGCCACAAGCACCTCTTCACCCCTCATATCTCTTAGCCAAAAGGCCAATGGATAAAATATAGTGATTTGAATTTCACTTCCTCTCCCTTATTCAGCCCAAACGCTGGGAATCAGGAATACACAGTAGGAGGTAGTAAGAAGAGAAACAAAATCTGAATAACCACAAAAGCAAATGGCTTGTGGGTGAATTCTAAAGTAGACCACAGGGAAGGGAAATCATTAAAATATTTTGTTGTATCTGTGTGTGAGTGTGTGTGTACCTTTATTTAAGTCCCACGTCTTTTTCAAATAACATCTAGTCTCTTTTTGCAGGTATTTTCCCTGCTCATCACTCCTCCACATCTTGAATGGGCCCTATGTTCATCTTTGAACATTGTTTTCATTTGAAGTTCAATGTTTTTTCCTCAACTTAGCTAAAATAGCAACTACTTGTGAATTTCTTTACATTCTCTACCCCAGCTTCAATTTTTTTGCCAGCTTTTGAGAAGTTGGTCATAATAAAAATTCTGAACTCCATTTTCCCTATCTCCCCAATTTCTCTTTCTCATAGTTCAAATTTTGGTCTACTGCTCTGACCCATTCTGTATACACAGAGGCTTTATTTTTTATTTTTCCTCTTTAATAAGTCCTCTGACCCAAAGGCTACACTACGCTCATCTGAAACCAACGAAGAGAGCCAGCAGAGAGCAAAGCACCATTCAACATGGTGACATTTTGGGTGAGGACAAGAGATCCTGACTCATCCACAGAACATCAACACTGTACCTGTGGATGAAAAATTGTCACATGCCATCTTGCCTCTATAAGGATGAACTCACTAGGCACCGCAGTCATTGATCTTCAACACACTCTGAAAGGACTTCAGGGTGGAGATCAGGAATGAGGCACTCTGTGCTCTGGGAAAAACTGGCAGAATGGGGCTATAGATGGTTATTCTCAGGAGAAGATTTTATGAGCCCAAATTCTTGCATCTTCTCATACCTAGAAAAGCACTAAAATCGTTAACAGAGACCTCTGCCCCTTATGACTAGCAGTAATCTTCTGCCAAAAATGTATGCGTGACTTAATGTATCCGCCTTCATCCAAATCATATATATACTGACCTCCCCCCTTATCTCTTCGGAATAGTTCCTCAGAATTATCTGAGAAGCTGTCTCTCGGGCTATAGTGCTCATTTTGCCCCAAATAAAACTTAACTCGCTACTCTCACATTGTGCACTTTTTTCAGTCGACATACCAAGCCCAAATTCAGAGAATCCAGCTGGCATAAATAGTTTTCGGCATAAAGGACTCATGGATAGGGAAAGTCAGGGAGGTAAGACCTTCTGGTCATGCCTTCCTAGACCTCCTCATTGCTCCCCTTCTCCCGCTTTTCAGGGTCTCTGAGGATGCTGAGGGGCACACCTGTCATTTCTGTTGTTGAGAATGCAACACGAGCAGCAGATTCCCTTGTTAACTTTGGTATCAGGATCAAGAATATTGCCCCAATGGCCCCTATCTTCCTAGGAACTACCTCTTTGAAGCTGGGAGGTTGTGCTGATACTAACGGCTGACTTGGCGGGTGGGTGGTAGGGCCCCAGTCTTTAACAGCTTTTAAAAAACTACTCACAGCAAGCATGTAGCAAAGCATGTGGTCAAAATCATCATATGAACAAACACATAAAATAATTGGCTAAGCATGTGACTAAGATGCATTCCACTGTAATTTGTAGAAGGAAGACACTAAGAAAGTGCTGTACTTTGTTGCTGGAAACATTGATTGTTTAAAAGGGGGAAATATCCTAGATTTTGATCCCATCAAGTGCATTTAAGAAACCCTCTAGGTGGATTTGTAGCTGGTGGTGTTGGCTGGCAAGTGGGCCAGCTAGTGATCACATCCACCAGGTAAGTTCAGCTGTACCTTGATTCTCTCAGCAGTTGCCTACACCTCCCCCACACCAGTCTCATTGCCTCCCCAAGTGTCCGCCAAAAAAGTAATGCAGGAGGCTGAAAGGAAGAAAATAATTTATTTGGGGTCCTAAGAATTGCAATTTGGGAGACACAGATTCGGGTAATCCCGAAAGGGTGTTCCAGGGAAGAGAAAGAGTCAGGGGCTTATTAAGGCAAAAGGCCACAGGTTTTTAAAAGTTGCCTGGTAAGAATTGCGAACAACTCTGATGCAAGTCAGAAAATATTTGTCCTTAAGGAATCATGAGTTTTTTTTTAGGATAAGGTCCAATTAGATAAACTGTCATGAGTTATTTTAGGGTAAGAGTCCGATAAGTAGATAGGCTGTCATGAGTTTCTGGCAGATGTTCTGGATAACTTCATCGGGTCCAAAGGTCAGATTCCATCCAGGCTGAGATGTGCATAAGTCACATTTCCTTAACGGCCCCCGGCTCCATGTTAGAGTGCTCTTAGCAATATCGACTCCATTTTGCTTTTCCTGTCACACAAGCTTCAACAATGCTAGAGCTTCCACTGGCTGCCTGTGAGGAGCACAGGTGTGTGGACCAGGACTGTGGAACACTTAAGGCAGAGAAGGACTCTGATGGGCAGAGTCTGAGAACTTGGGAGTCAGCTTTCATTTCTACTCCTGCTGCTGCTACTGACTGACATTTGTTCGATATTTCCTGTGTGCCAGGAACTTCATCTGTAGTCCTTACAACAACCTTGAATGGGAGGGGTTTTCTTCCCTCTCCATTTTCTTGAGCTAAACCCATGGAACAGACAAGTTAAAACACATTGAACGTTGCACAGCTAGTAAGAGACAAAGATCCCACAAAGATGTCTGACCATAAACCTGACCCTTTTACCTTGTACCCATGTCTCTCCAAGGATCATAGATTGACCTGCAGTATATAGAAACCCCCGCAATTGTGAGATGGCTTATGAAAAAATTTAGCCTGATTTTATGCACAATTCCATCTGATTATTCAGAGATAAACTCTCATTTCCCTTTGCAGGCACAATAGGCCCTCTGTGCAGCCCAAAACAACATTGTAAGCTCCTATCCAATTTCCTGTCCACATATCTTTTGGAGTAATTACGGCTTATTTCTCTAGGTTTTCCATTGATATCTATGTTTTGTTGATTCTTCTCCAGATGCATTGGAGGCACACATCCAAATTAAATATCATTTATTTCCTGCCTCTTATTTTTAAGTTTCCTTTATCCTTCACTCTCTATGGGTTTTATGTTATATTCCAATTAGTATCTTACAAATCTGGGCTGCAGGTTATTAACTACACATTCATATTACTAGACAATAAACTGAAAGGATTCAATTCTATCCGTTATTTAATCTTGGACCCCTCACGATTAGACCCTGACCGAAGGCAATGCTTGGAAGACCACATCTGACCTTTAACTTGAACACCCAGTTCACACCTCTCATCCTCCTCAGCCCCCCAGGCCACTAGGCAGGGCATAATTATCTATAGCTCATAAATAAAAGTCAAGGCCAGCAGAATTGTAAGGCTTGCCCAGGATCATGTGACGATACAACCAGGAGCAGGACTGAAAACTCTTGTGTCATGACTATAAAAGGTCAAAACCATTCATGCTTCACATGCGTTTTCTATAAGAGTGATTGACAATTATTTATTAAATTGCACTTTGTTGGCATAAAGAACAGCTTTCAGGTTTTGATTTTAAGTGAGTTATGCTCACCTTGGAGTGACTCTAGGCAAAGTTCCAACATCAGTGAAGCATGTTTTCAACCTCTGCAGCTTCCACTTTTAGTTCCTATCTCATGTTCAGTTCCTACTACCTCACTTCTCTGGTGGGTTATCCTCCGCCTGCCAACTCCACCTTCTAGGTCCCAACTTTGAAGCTCTGGCCTCTTGATGCTCTTCAAATCTCAATCTGATCATGAGGGTCCTTTGCCCCTCAAGTCAGAGGTCCAGCTTTTGGTGGATCCTCCGTCTGTGACATTTAAGCTCAAAGTTCCTTTAACAGAGAACAAAGCTTTTCATTCCTAAAGCCTAGATGAGATGCAGGCACGGGCGAGAGGTGATACTTTGATTTACAGCCACATGAAGAAGTGACTGACTCATGTCATATCTGCTCTTATGCCGGTTTTAATGAGCACAGAGAAGGGAGGGCAAGGTCATGAATATCTGAGGGGGGCGGTGCCAAAGGGATGCCGCTGAGAGAATGGATGAGGGACATAGCAGGGAGCCTGGGAATGTTCGTTTCAGAACGAGTGGCAATGGGTGGGTTTAAAAATGTTGCTGACCTCACCTTGGCACTGAGGGTGGGCCACCACTTCTCACAGTGATCATTCTTCCCAAGAATTCTTGGTTGTGACCAAAAAAAAAAAAAATAATCAAGTTTATTATTCATCACTGGAGAGGGTGTGGGAAAATAGATGGTAGAAATTAGTGCATCCTTTAGAAAAAAATTGTACTTTTGGCCAAGAGTCATAAAAATGTTCATGCCCTTTAATTAGTAATTCCTTTTCTGGGAATATAGCCTAAGGAAAGGGTCCCATATGTAACCTGCAAGTCTGCTCCACACTGTGGAGTTCCTAGTTGTTGCGTGAACTTCTGATGCTCTATTAGCAGGAAGTTAAGTGTTGATTTTTTGAGGGTCCTCCTACCCCTCATCTTTATTGGTCAAGAATACTGGGTGCTTATTCAGTCCCAAGAGGAACAGACAAGAAGAAAATTGGACTGGTCCACAGCAGCTCCTCCAGCGTCAGTCACTGTTGGTTCTGTCACTACCATCTACTTCAATATTGGAGACAGACTAGGGCATCCATGTCCAGTGTTGTACTGGAGTCCCTGTTAGCTCCGGCACAGACCACAGGGGTTCTTTGAAGCATGACAATCTCATGTCTCAGGGCTGAGCTTATTAATAGTCTCCATAGTTTGGCTCCCCAGGTTCCAGCTTGGAGGCCTTCGTTGCCAAGTTCAGTCATCTTTCCCAGAACAAGACACTGCAACAGGGCGGCTGGGTCCAGAGGAGTTTCTAGCCTCAGCTGAACGCTGAGTCCAAGCATCCGCCATGTTACATCTTCAGTGATCAGCTTTGTGCTCTGACAGCTCTCAGAGAGTAACTGTTTTAAAAGAGTTCTATGATACCTGAACACCGGAATAATGGGTATGTTCCCCATTATTGCACAACTAAGGCAACCACTCAGTGATCTTTTATTGAACAAAAAATGTCAGCTTTTCTATTTTAAAAATAAAAATAGAATACCTATATGTGCGTGCAGATATTCATTGCACACTTGTTTATAGAAGTCAAATGTGAAAAGAATCTGAAGATGCAACATCAGGCAGCTTGTAAAGTAAATTAGGATGCTTCTACTCCATAAGACAAGGTACAGCTATAAATGGTAATTAAGGAGGTTATGAGAAAATATGGGTGTTTTCCCTCCGATTTTCCAAACTTTCTTCTAATTCGTCAAGTTAAAAAGAATAAAAGACTCTTCTAATTAACTACTGACATGCAGCTGTTGCCAACAGGACTCGACAATGATTCATTTGTTAAAGACAGGGACACAGGACTTAAAGATGACTTCTAAAAGCTTGCCTTCAACGATAGGGTGAATATTGGGGCAGTTTATTGAGATGGGGGAGGCAAAGTGGGGGACTGGGAAACCAAGAGCTTTGTTTGTCTATACTAAATTTGAGATGCCTCTTAGATGTCCATGTGGTGATACAGAGCAGGTGGTACAGTGGCCTGTAGGGACTTGAGTTCAGGGGAGAGGTCAGCAATATCAAGACTAGAAATTTAAAATCCGAGAGTCATCAGTATGTAGATGGTATTTAAAACATGAGATTAGGTATAGGGTATAGATGGATCATAGTATAAGAAGATCTAAGACAGAGCCTCCAGTCATTGCAACATTTAGAAACCAGACAGAGAAGGGGAAACCAGCAAAAAAAAGCCCTGAGGCAATGCAGCCAGTTAGGCAGGAGGAAAAGGGAAGAACATAGCATCCTGGAGGCTGGGAGAGAAGAGGATTTTAAGAAGGAAGGAGTGGTCAACTGTGTCAAGTTCTACTGGGAAGTTGAGTAAGATGAAGACAATGAAGGGACCTTTGGATTGGCAAAGGAGGTTGTTCATGGCCTTGAAACGAGCAGATTCACTAGCATAGAGAGGAGGAAGGCCTGGCTGGAGTCTGCTGAGCTAAGACTAGGAGATGAGGAAGTGGGCACTGACTACAGACAACTTTTCAGGAAGTTGTGCTATAAAAGAGCTAAGAAATGGGATTGTACCTGGAGGGCGATATGAGATCAAGGGATTTTTATTTTTTAAAGGAAGCACTAGAACACGTCTGACTGCTCGTGGAAATGATTCAGGAGGGAGAGAGAAATGAATCGTGAAGGGGAGAGAGGTTAATTGCAGGAGGAAAGTTCTTGGGAAGGATGAGGATATGGAATCCTGAGCAGAAGTGGAGAGATTGGCCTTTAATGAAGTAGGCACACACACAGAGTCCTTGGCATAGTACCTGGCACATGTACCAAGAGCTCAGTAGATACTTGCCAATGTTATTACAAGTGTCTCCTTGAATAATGAAGGGAAATAACAGTTGGCTGGTCCAACTTATAGCTCAAAAGTCAGGCAGCGAATAATTGCATCAGCAGTCTATATAGTCTGGCCAAAGAGGAAAAGGATGAAAAGATGGAGTGGCCCATCCTTCTCTTCTAGAGCCCTGCTCAGACAGGGTAGACTCCCACAAGAGGGGTGTTCACGTACGCTTGCAAAATGGACAGATCCTAGTAATTGATGAATTGAATAACTGATATGACTGTCTTTTAATTTAGTCTGTCATTTTCTTTTTCACTGGATGCTGTTTGCCGAGTAATGATGTTCTTGAGTTCCTGAGAGCGATAACCAGGGCAATGGGAAATGTGGGAAAAACCACAGCCTCAAAACCTCTGTTCTTGTGCAATCAAGATGTAAACTACCCTAACTGTTGAGACACATACCCAGAAGCGGTCGTTTCGTTGGCTCCTGCAGAGAAAACCTAACCAACCTGTGTAGCAACCCAAGAGACCCCAAGTTATAGCTGTTATTCCAGAAAGTACTGTATTTAAGCCAGGAATTCAGAGCTTTATCTGCACAGAATGTTGTTTTTGATCATGTGGGCTCACTGTTGAAACAGAGTGAGTTGATGTTCCTTGCCAAATAGCTGATGAAGAAAATGTCCGTATCTTCCAAAGCATTGTTAAAAAGGAAGAATTTCTACAAAAGAACACAACTCTCTGGTTACTTTCTCACTCGATAAAAATTTAGAATTAAAACAAAAGGGTATTAGGCAGCACTCATTGGAAACTAGCTAACACATTTAAGCAGAAAAATAACTTATTAAAAGAGTAGTGGAGGGCTTCCCTGGTGGCGCAGTGGTTGAGAGTCCACCTGCCGATGCAGGGGACATGGGTTCATGCCCCGGTCCGGGAAGATCCCACATACCGCGGAGCAGCTAGGCCCATGAGCCATGGCTGCTGAGTCTGTGCGTCTGGAGCCTGTGCTCCACAATGGGAGAGGCAAAAACAGTAAGAGACCCGTGTACCGCAAAAAAAAAAAAAAAAAAAAAAGAGTAGTGTAAATTACCCTGATGTCCATTTAAATAGAATGGATAAATGAATAGTGATATAGTCGTACAATGAAATATACAATGAAAAAAGAACAGGCCATCAATACACAGAACAGTATGACTGTATCTCACAGACATAACATTGAGAAAAAGAAGCCAGAGATTATGTACTGAGTATGTACCATCTATTTTCATTTATATAAAGTCCAAAAACAGGCAAAATAAATCTATGGTGTTAGTGTCATGACAGTGGTTAATCTTTTGTTGTGGTGTAACTGAACAGGACCCTATGAGACCTTCTTGGGAGAGACTCCCCCCTTGTCCTCTGTGTGCCTCTTGTTTGTAGAAAATCTTTAGCCTCCTAGACCTTCCCTGGGTTCCAAAGAACAAATTTAATTAGAAAAGTGAGAATGCAGAAACAAAGGAAAACACTTAAGCAAGACAAAAATAATAGTTTAAGCATTAAACAAAAGTCAAGAACTTTAGTTCCTCCTCAGGGGCTATAGATAATATCCTGAGCCATATCCTTGAGCTGTTTTGCAGATACTGAAACCCCCACCATGGGAAGAAGTCAACTGCTTGTTGACCACAAGCACATAGCCCCTAGACCAATTAGTAGAACCAGAAAGTTGATGATGCTGACTTCGGATGACCTCACCACCAACCAATCAGAAGAATGTCCACGAGCTGATCACGCATCCTGCAATCCTCTCCCTCACCCTGTCTTCAAAAACCTTCCCCTGAAAGCCACCGGGAAGTTCGGGTCTTTTAAGCATTAGCCACCTGTACTCCTTGCTTGGCGCCCTGCAATAAATGCTGCACTTTCCTTCACAATAGCTGCATGTCAGTAGACTGGCTTTACTACGTGCTGGTAGAGCTGGGGGAGCAGAGCCAAGTTTGGTTCAGTAACAGCAGAGAGGCTGAACAGGGACATGAGGAGGGATTCAGTGTGCTGGCTACACAGGTATGCACAGTTTGGAAAATTCATTGAGCTGTATACTTTTGATATGTACTCTTTTCTCTATGTATGTTTTCATGAAAGTTGCATAGGAGGAAATCAAAAGAAGGGCTATTAGCAGGTTAAAATGTCACTAGTAAATGTTGGAGACACAGGTCTGGGCCTGTAGGTCCAAGCATACTTCCTAAATCTGGCACAGAACTTGAAGGAGCACATCTCTGCTGCTGCAGCTGAACACTAGACTCTGCTGTTTGCTCTGAGGACCCTCTCTGTAGGACACTGTAGCACTGCCTGACATTTGATTATACATGCATTTATTTTCTGTCTCCCCAACTAGAATGTGAGCTGATTGCTGCCACATAGTAGGTACTCAGCAAATATTTATTTAATGCAGTTCTCTTGTTGATAACTGAGCAGAGCTCCCCTTCTCATGGATGCATGTTTTTTCTTTAGATATATTAATCTCACCAATCAAGGTCCAGTTAAGTCTTACTGTTCGAAGGACACATTTGCTCTTTAAAGTGGTTTCCCATATTTCTTCTCTGATTCATCAGCATTGAGTTGAAAGATTTAGTCTCATCAGGCGATCTTATTTCCCGTAGTTCCAAGTTCGTAGCAGGTGAGTCATGTCACTGTGACCCCTACTTACCCCCAGCAGAAACATGCAATATCCTTCTGAACATGCAATTTGACCCAAAAATTGCTGAGGCAAGTTGTGAGGAAGATGGTAAACTAGGAGATGCGAAGCTGTCCATCAGCAGGAGAGTGATGAGGTGACTCCCTTCACTCATGTGGGACTGCACAAACTCCTATGTTTACTGTTTCACTTTCACCCCACTGACACCAAGTCATTCATTTGTTGGGCCTTCTGGGGAATTCAACAGTGGAATTTTGCCCTTCCACTACACTTTCTATGTTTAGGATGCTTTAGGAAAGAACTGAGTCTTTAGATGGAGAATCTCAGGGGATGCAGGGCATATCCTACCAGCTTTAAGCCTCATCTTGCCTCCCAAAACAAGGCACATGTGCTGCCTGACCTGTGTTAGCCCCTCCGAGCCTGCCCTGTGCAGCAATGCACAGTGGCTCCCTGGGACACTGACCAGGACTTCAGGTCTGAAGATGGATGCCCTTGTCTTATCCTGCTGGAAAACAAATTAAAGAGAGAATGGATTGCCCCTTATACTCTTATTTAGAATCCTCCCACTTCTACTAAGCTGCCTCTATTCTTCCCCCAAAATGGAAGGCCAACGAATTATTCCATATTTTGTCCTACATTTCTCCATTTCATTCCTGAATGGGGGTGGTGGTGGACGGGTAGATAGTTTGGGAGGGAATGGCTGACAAAATTCAAAAGGCATCTCTATTCTCAGCTGAGAGAGTAGAATAAAACAAAACCAAGAGCAAAACCCTGGGATGATTTCCGTCCACCACCCTCCTTTACCTGTTGACCTCTCCACTGCTTCCTCATGGCGTCTCAATTTCTCTTTCTAGCTCCATCTTCTCCCTTTAGCTACCAAACTATGTTTTCAACTGCCCCATAGGCATTTTCACTGGCATTTACTAATGGCATCTCAAATTCAACATAGCTAAAAGCAAATTAGTCATCTTTTATCCCATGGCAGGTTTTTCTTCTGGTTTCTTTATTTAGGTCAGTGATGGTATTGCCCTTCCCTTCACCCAGACTCAGTATCAAGCACTTCTGAAGGCTATTGTTTACTAAGTCTTGCCAATCCTGCTTCTCAAGAGTTTGATCCCTCCTTTTGGTTACTATCACCACCTTCTTAATTCAGGTCCTCCTTACCTCCCATCCATTCTAGCCTCCGTAAGAAATAGTCACACATAGTGATTAAGAGTAGGTAAGAATACTGCCTCTACTGCTTAGTAACTACATGGCTCAGGCAAGTTGCTTAAACACTCTAAGCCTCAATTTCTGCATCTATAAAATGGGATAGGGCTTCCCTGGTGGCGCAGTGGTTGATCCGCCTGCCGATGCAGGGGACACGGGTTCGTGCCCCGGTCCGGGAAGATCCCACATGCCGCCGAGCAGCTGGGCCCGTGAGCCATAGTCGCTGAGCCTGCGCGTCTGGAGCCTGTGCTCTGCAACGGGAGAGGCCACAACAGTGAGAGGCCCGCGTACCACAAAAAAAAAAAAAAAAAAAAAGGATAATAATACCTCTTGCTATGAGTACTCAATTGGAGTATATATGTATATAAAGTGGTACCAGCAAAGTACTCAGTAACAGTAGTGATTGTCACTATCTGTTCTCTCAGTACTCCAATTCATTTTACTCACCACTGTTAGATTTACCCTCAACAAGGCAGCGCTGCTCATTTTTAAAAAACTCTCAGTGCCCACATTCATTATCTCCCTAATACCTAACATTCCCATCCTGACATTCCAGAATTTTCCATAAAGTATTTGTTCCATCTTCTGACCTTAGTCTCTTCTATTTTCCCTGTGTTCCAGTCAAATGGACCTTCTTGCCCTTCCCCACACCATCTCTATACTACAGCCTGTGTGTATTTGCTTGTGCTATATCTTCTATTTTATTCCTTCCTTATCCTTCAAGGTTTAACACAAATTAGTTTCTTTCTTATGTTTGAATGTCTTTTTCTCTCCTTTTAAAGTCTCAGCATATAATCACACCTTTCTACAGGATGGTTCACTTTCTTCCTGGTCCTGTAGTTGCCTGTGTGTTCATCTTAACCTCTCCAGCTGGAGGAACCTCCATTCCCCCGACCTCAAGTCTCTACATGTCAGGGTGAAAACTTGAACATTCAAGCACTCATTTCCCCCTTCTGCCAACAAGATGCAAAATAACCAATTTGAACAAATTCTCCACCACATCAGTTGGCTAGATAAATGATGAAAAAGGTCTTGCTCAAATAAGAGCCAAGGCTGGGAAAATAATTGAGACTATGAGGAAGGGAAATGATCCGATTGTTCTAGCTTAAGCAAAGTTCTGTTCACCCCATTTCATCCCCTGCTTCTAAGCTCTCTGCTTTAGTGATTAGGAATGCAAGATTCCATGCAGGATGGGGTAGGTCAATTCCTATTTCTTGAATGTTTTTCACATGAAACTTGTGCTTTTAGCAACAATGGATATAAATGCCAGTTCTCTTTAAACTCTTTTAGGACTCTCAGAAAATATTTGTTTTTCCAGTGACTGCTTCTTTCAGAATCCACGCTAGTTTCTTTAAAACCCTTAAATTTACAATAAAATCCTTAAAATTATGAGTAGCAGTACTTTCTTCCAGACACTGACCACAGATGGGAGGGTGTGGGAGGAAAAGTATGAATCCTGCCAGAAAGCAATGCTTTAAAAATATGAGGTTAAATTTCATTTTGAAAAGTTTTAACACAAATTCCCTTCCCCCCAGAGCCCTACCTCACTTCATATTATTTTTTGCTCAATTCAAGAGTGTTTTAAAAAAATCTGTTAAAAAAATTTAAACAAAGAAATCAAGAAGATATTTTCAGTTTTAAGAGGAATATAAATGTAGGAAATATTTTATGAATGAGGCTAGGCCATTCAGGCTTAAAAGAATTATAAAAGCTTAACATGTTTGTGTGTATGATCCTGCTTTTATAATTTTAATTTTTTGCATTGAAATATACCACACTGCTCTGTTGACCCACGGTTCCACGAATGGCACTCAGACATGTCAGGTTTGCTTGATGGACTTATCAGTCTACAAAATACTTGAAAAAAAAAATTTTATTTATTTATTTTTGGCTGCATTGGGTCTTCGTTGCTGTGCGTGGGCTTTCTCTAGTTGCGGCAAGAAGGGGCTACTCTTTGTTGTGGTGTGCGGGCTTCTCATTGCGGTGGCTTTTCTTGTTTCAGAGCATGGGCTCTAGGCACGCGGGCTTCAGTAATTGTGGTATGTGGGCTCAGTAGTTGTGGCTCGTGGGCTCTAGAGTGCAGGCTCAGTAGCTGTGACGCATGGGCTTAGTTGCTCCGTGACATGTGGGATCTTCCTGGACAAGGGATCGAATCTGTGTCCCCTGCATTGGCAGGTGGATTCTTAACCACTGTGCCACCAGGAAAGTCCCCATACTTCCTTTATTATTGTTTTGAAATTCATTTCTCTGATTTATTTTTACCTTTGCTTATGATGTTCTGAGTATATTTGTATTTGCTTTCCTCTTTCTCTTTTTTAAAAATAATTTTCTTAGGAGAAATTTCAAGCATACATAAAAGTAGAGAAAACAGAATAATGAACTTCAAATAGCAATCACTCATATTCTAGAATTATCAGTATTTCCTCACTTTTCCTTCATCTATACCTTTATCTTTCTTCTCCCTTTCTTTTGGCTGAAGTATTTTAAAGCAAATCCCCAAATCATGTCATTTCACCCCTATGTATTTATATGTGTGTTGCAAAAATATCGGTGGTTTCTTACATACCACCATACTATTATCACACCTATCAAAACCAACAAGAGTTTATTGGTATCGTCTAGCACACAGTCTGAAATCAAATTTCCCTTATTGTTCTTAATGTGTTGCATTACACTTGGTTTGCTCATATCAGGATCTAAGCAAGGTCCATGCATTTTATTGAGTTGTTCGGGGCTGGAGAAGAGTTTTAGGGTTTGGTAAGGGAGGGCAGGTGAAGAAGGTGAAGGGTGGGAGAGTACTGTGAACTGGGGGAAAGGCTTTTGAATCATGATCTTCAAGAGGCACAAGTAAAGGTTGAAACTATTCAGCTGCTAGACAGTAGTTACATTACTTTAAATGTAACTCCCTGCAGAGACTGAAATTTGAGGGAATCCAGGATTTGTTCTGTTCATGGACATGACTTCCAGAAGAACTAGTCTACCTCCTCCATCCCGTCTTATTCCAGTTAATATCATAGAATTCCCTTCCCAGACAGAAAAAATATTTAGAGCCTTCCAGAGTAGGCATTGCTAGCCATCCATTACAAAATTAGTTCTTCCTGTTTCTGAGACAGATTATGTGGAATCTCAATCTCTTTACCTACTACTTACTCCATTCTCGGTAAAATAGACGTTGTGTTTGATAAGTCTGAATGTGCTCTGTGTTGATTTTAATGGCTTCTGGGTCTGCTAACCTTAGCAGGATATATGTCAGCACCTCTAGCGTTAACAGTTTAGCCTATAAAAATCAATTCTAATGCAATCTGGGAGTATTGTGCAACCCACCTGTTCGTTAATATTTCACCAGCTGTGGATCCTAGTGCAAAATAGGTCTAATTTAAAGGGTTCACTTCAAACATATTTTCTTTGGCTCTGGAGACAAAAGTAATTGGCAATCAACAGTGGTAGGGGCAGCTGCTGTCAATGCACAGTGGCAGTCAGGGAAGAACTCTCAACTCCTACAGCTCTTCCCAGCAGACTTCAAACACATATTTTTCATCCAACAGGGAGCCCTCCAGCCTCCTAATCACCAACCCAGTGGGATCCCAAGTTGCTGGGAATTTCATAAAGCAAAATTCCCCAGGGAGTTTCAACAGAGGTGCTCAGGAAGCCAAAACCCCATTAGCTCTTTGGCCCAACTCAAAAGCCCAGCTGCAGAATAGCCTCCCACACTCTAGGCCCCAGTCACTCTCGTACAGCAGCTGCATTGTTCTCCTCAGTGTCAACTGCTGCCCATAGCAGGGTAACTCCTGAAAGTGAGAGTGGTCTAGATGGGGCAGGGTTGGGGAGAAAACACCATCATACCCACTGTCATTATCATGCCGTATGTTTCTATAGTACTCTATGGTTGCAAATTATGTTCATGAACATGGCACTCTTGATCCTCACAGTGACCCTGTAAGGTAGAGAAGGTAAGGGCATCTTTAACTTGGTTTTATACGTAAGCCAACTGAGGCACACTGAGGTTAAGGGCAGTGTCCACGTCCTACACGTGGCAGAGCTAGAACCAAAGTATTGGTCTTTGGCCTTCATTCCAGTGCCTTGTCCTCCTCCCCATGTGGGCTCAGTCTAGGCTTGGCCCAGTCTTTGACTGAGTTTCCTAACTGGTGGACCCAGCTCACTTGTGCGCAAGAGAGGTCTTCCTCAGTCTTTGGGAACTTGAGTGGACCTGGGGTGACACAGGTCGGTAACCTCTGCCTCAAATGACCTAATCTTTTTACCTTAGTACCGTAAAATTGTTGTCATTGTCTGGGTGCACAATGACATGGAAAATGTTGTAAATCATTATCTTAAAGGAAAATTTAAATGTTGCCTCTTTCCACTGAATTTTATATCTGACAGCCAGTTTGTATGCCTAGCCCTAAAAAGTCAGGTCCATCAATCAGAACTAGAAAATAAAATTTAATTGACTACTTGCCAGTGAATTTTTAAAATCTACAATATTTTCCCCAGTGAGCCTCTTGGAACATACATTGTGGGTTGAAGTGCTATTTGAATGTTTCTTTTTGAACACTTTATGGTCAGTTGCCATGGAAAAACTTTTTGTTTCTTTTCTCTCTCTCCTCCAATGGAGTAATTAGTCTCCATCTCCCCCACCTCTGTATATTTAGGCCAGGTTCCCTATCTACCCTCTACTTCCTGGTTTTTAGTTCTGACACAAAATGAGTCAGTCCCATTGCGTGGAGTAATTTCTTTGTTTATACAAATTGGATTAGCTCATGTCATTACTTTCACTTGGGCTATTGTGAAAATTTTTCTTTTCTCCGTGGGTTTTGTTTTTATTAGGTTTTTCAGTTCTGCTCTTGATTTGGGTGGAAAGGCCAATTAATGGAAACATGGCCTCAGGCAAAATTAAGCTGTTCATTTTATTAATTAAAATTTTTTCTTAATTTTAAAATTTATTTTATGTCCAATTTTGAAAGGTTACTTTCCATTTACAGTTATTACAAAATGTTGGCTATATTTCCCATCCTTGAGCCTATCTTACCCCCCATAGTTTGTACCTTCCACTCCCCTGTCCTTATACGGCGCCTCCCTGCCCCGTAACCACTAGTTTGTTCTCTATATCTGTGAGTCTGCCTCTTTTTTGTTATATTCAGTAGTCTGTTGTAATTTTTAGATTCCACGTATAAGTGGTATCATACAGTATATTTGTCTTTCTCTGTCTGACTTATTTCACTTAGCATAATGCCGTCCAGGTCCATCCATGTTGCTGCAGAGGCAAAATTTCATTCTTTTTTTACGGATGAGCAGTATTCCATCTTCTTTATCCATTCATCTGTAGATGGACACTTAGGTTGCTTCCATGTCTTGGCAATTGTAAATAATGCTGCTAGGAACATTGGGGTGCATGTATCTTTTTGAATTAGTGTTTTGGGTTTTTTGATATATACCCAGAAGTAGAATTGCTGGGTTATACGGTAGTTCTAATTTTAGTTTTTTGAGAAACTTCCATACTGTTTTCCAGAGTGGCTGCGCCAATTTACATTCCCATCAGCAGTGTACAAGGGTTCCCTTTTCTCCACATCCTTGCCAACATTTGTTAGTTGTGTCCTTTTTGATCATAGCCCTTCTGACAGGTGTGAGGTGGTATCTCACTGTGATTTTGATTTGCATTTCCCTGATGATTAGTGATGTTCAGCATCTTTTCATGTGCCTGTTGGCCAAGATGTTCATTTTCAATACATATCAATTCCTCTATCTTCACCTATTCCGGCCTCTTCCCTTAATCATTCTAGTATACCTCAGGACCCTGTACCCAGAGCCTTACATATTTTCTATCCTCCCGCCGTTAACTCTCATATTGAGAAAGTCAATTCACACTGAGGTATATGAATATTACCTCTTAATGGTGCTCATTTTACTATTTACAAAACTGTTTCTCACAGGCTTCTGGGTGTAGGGGTGATTTCTAGTGAAGAAGTGTTGTTGTGTTGATCTGTCCCAGAAGAGCATCTGGGCTATCTTTTGCACGAGGAACCAACCAATGACCCATGGGAAGACTGCTGTACTGGTTGTGAACCTTTTCATTCAAGTGACAGAAATTCAACTCAACTATAATGTATTTTCTCATGTAACTGAAAAGTCCATGGGTATGTTTCAGTTATGCCTGGATCCACAGTTTCAGACAATATCATAAGGGCCCAGTCTCTTTCCAACTCTTGGTTCTGCTTTATCCTCTGTGGACTCTCTTTTCACATAGACTCTCCCTTCCTGATGGACCAGTGGCCGTCAGCAACTTCACAATTACATCCTTGTGGCTACAAGTCCAGAAGTAAAGAGTTGGAATCTTATCCAGTTCTTTAAAGACGAGTCTAGAATTAATTCTGATTGGCTCTGTTTGGTTCCTGTCTACATCTTTGAGCCAGTCCTTTGGCCCAGGAGAGGGAATGTTCTGAGTGGCAAAGTCTGGGTAACATGTCCACCCCTGGAGTCACAGATTGATTGAGTATGAACTAAAAGTGGAGTAAGAATGGTCCCCTAAAGCACAATCAGGGTGACAGGAAGGCACAAAACAATTGTCCACTTCAACTGGTAATGAAAACATTTAGATGGCCATTCTAAGAACAGTGTGGACAGACAAGTAAACTCACCTTGAGGTGGGAGAGAATCCAGGTGTGTGGCAGACCTATCATTTTTTAATGTTCTTGGTACCAAAAAAAAAAAAAAATTCTTCTGACCAAACCTCTAGAGAATTTGTTGTAAGTTTGTGGTTGGAGAAACAAGTTCAGAGAAGCGGAGAGGGGGAGCAAAGGGGGCACCTGTAAGAGATCTGGAAGCTTAGCTTCTACATATACAGAATACCAGGGCGCCATAAAAAGACTAGAGCACAAAGACACCATGTCAGGAACCTGGTTAGAGAACCATGAGATTGGTTGGCAAAGACCTCTCTTATCTCAGAGAGAGCTGAACCAAGGCTATAAGAGTGATAAGGTCAACAGATATGAGGATAGAATTAATGAAAGCACAGAAAAATAGTAAGACCAGGTTCCAGTGTCACAGCAAGGTCAGCCAGTGTAGCAGCAGCGCCAATGCATAAAGCACAGCAGCTAATGGCAAGTAGTTCTGGACCCAGACACACCTTGACTCATATCCTCACACTTCCTGACTGTGTAAACCTGGGCATACTTCCTCCTCTAAGTGGGAACAATGATAGTGTCCCTCCCTCTTTGGGTTGTGTGAGGACTGAATAATATCTCAGAGGTAAAAGAGCTTAGCACAACACTCAGTAAATAGTAGCTGGTGGGAACTAGATGTTAAAATTTTTGAAGTTGTCATTCTAAGTTCTCAGAGGCCATTTTGGGTGAATAATGTCTGGAATTCTGGGAAGAATTACGTGGGTGGTCCCTTTGGGGTCTGCAGTTTTAAGGCAATTATCTACCTCTTGGAGGAATTTTTGATTTGGGGTTTAGATGCTGTCATCATATATCGTCAGGCTGTGCTGTTTCCTCTCTAACCCCATATCTATTTGCTAACATAAGTTTAAAGAAGAAGGGATCCTTCGTAGGAAGAAGGATTTGCGGTTCAAATTTATTAAACTATCTGATGATCAGAGCTGGACCTAAGGGAGGGCACACAGCAGGGAAGGACTACTGATCAAGACGGGAGGGTACTGTGGACTAATGACTCCCAACTCACACTGGGGTCCACCAGCCCAATGCAAATGATGTGTCTTAGACAAGTGTGTGTGTGTGTGTGTGTGTGTGTGTGTGTGTGTGCGTGCGCGCGCGTGCACGCACGCGCACGCACACACGCACATGCATATACTGAAGGAATTTAACACTTGGAGTCAGAGCACTCCAGACGTCCACAGTTTTACTCTGAACGCCTGGGACCTAGCCTGGCACAGAAAGAACGACCTTCCCTTCCAGCAAGATTGGGCTGGAGCTGTTGGAAGTGGGGTTACAGGCAGTCCCCGCTTTGACATGACTGTGAAACACGTCAAAGCAGCAGCAGCTCTGTCTGGAATTTCATCTTTCCCTTCTGCATGCAGCAGCTGAGGTTAGATTTAACATTTCTTTAAAAAGGGGGGCACATCTGACCTTCTAACCCACCCAAAGGCAAATTTGGGGGTCATTACCCAATGACACTGAATAGGACAAATGTCTTTTATGAGCCTTTAACTGCAGTGACGACATATTAACAACCCTTATCAGTTATGAAATCGGACTCGAGGACCAATGACAGTCATTAACATTCCTGGAGCTGTGGTGGCCTGTTACTGGTAAATAATTTCAACCACTGATATGTCTGCTAATTAGAAGAGAATGGCTGCCAACTTTCCATTGCTTCTTTGACCCCACATGCCACATAAATGAAATGTCGGAAAAGAATAAAAGTTGAAATGCCTAACCTGGAATAATATTTAGAAACCTCAGGGAAGGTCAAGATTCAAAAAAAAAAAAAAAAAAAGAGCTTGATGCTGGTCCAAGAATCTTCCTCTTGGAAATATATATAGAGGTTTCTCCATTGCCCTTTAACTACTCCCAGAGTGCTGGTTAAGTGATGGCCAGGAATTAAGTGGCAAAGAGGAACAGGTTGAATCTTGCCCTTTATCCCTTAATTAGTCTCACCCTAAACCCCACCCCACAAGCTCTTTTGAACGAGGAGGTTAGAGGAGAAATAAAAGTCAAGAGCAGAGAATTATGGGAGAAGACAGGCAAATATTCTGAATCACTGATTCTTAAAGCTGGTTGCACATTGGAGTCACCTGGGGAGCCTTAGAAATACTGATGCCTGAATCCTGTCCCCAAAGATTCTGCTTTCAATGGTATAGGGTATGACCTAGGCATCAGGATTTTATAAAGTTCCCCAGGGGGATGCAGCCAAGGTTGCAAACCACTGTTTTAATGTAACTCAGAAGAGAGAATCAGGAAATGAATTTGTGATCACCTCGTACCTGGCAAGACTCCTTAATGGTAGTGTTTCTTAACCCTGGCTGAATATCAGAATCATCTAGGCAGCTTTTAAAACATCCAATGCCAGGATCCCACTGCAGTCAAATTAATTCAGGGTCTCTAGAGTTGGATATGAGCAGTAGCGTTATAAAGTATTGATTCTCCTTTGAGCCATGATCAAGAACTACTAAGACATGGTTCTCAAACTTTCAGCATACATAGAAATCACCCAGTGAGACTATTAAAAATATATATTCTTGCATTCTATCCCCAGAGGGTGGGCCTATAACAGACCCCGCAGGTGATTTTGAGGAAGGTGATCATTAAGGCCACTCTTGTCCATCGTTCTTATTGCTTTCTCATGCTGACCAAGATGTGCTTTGCTCAACAAAAATGCACCTCTGCCATCTGGTCTTTGGTGGTTCGCGATTGAAGAGGTGGGGAGGGGAAGCAGTACCACCTTCCTGGGGGCATTTGGAAGTATCTAGGCTTATCTTCTAACGATCATGGTTGAAGCTGCAGCAGATATTTAGTGAATGAAGGCCATGGATGCCAAACAGCCTGTCTTACAAAAAGAATTGTCCTGGCCAAATATCAATAGTGCTTCCAGTGAGAGACACTAGAAAGTGAAATGGTTTGGATTGTGTGTGACCTGAAGTATCAAGGTAGAGATTTTAGCACCAGGTAGGCATCAAGGTCAGTGGTCATTAGATTTGAGGAAAGGTCTCAAAGTTCAGGAAGCCAAGATATGTGAAAAAGCATCTTTCCCAGATATCTACATTTCTCTCTTCTCCTTGTCTCTCCAAGGAGGCAATTCTAACTCCTTCACCCTAACCCTGGCCCCAGTCTCTATTAGGGACTCAGATATGGACCCCAAAGTCCTCTGCTCATTTTTGGTGAAGTCACAACCCAGGTGGTACTTCCACTCGCCCCCAGACTGTCTTCCTAGCCAGCTGGCCTTGGGCGAGGCACATAATCAGGCAGGGCTTGTGTTCTCCATCTGCAAAATCAGTGGGTTGAGCTGTGTGGTTTCTACAGCCCCGTTTATTTCCAGCATTTAATGGTTCTATTCCAGGTTAGGAAGTCTTGGTCTCAGTAGAGAACTGTCTCAAGATATCATTCCTATCTGTTCAGCTGATACCCGAAATACCATTACTGGAGCCAAATTTTGAATCCACAATGAGAGATCAGGCTTAAACTAAATTGTCCTGAAAGAAGGATTACATTAACTTGAATTCCATCTCAGGACCTAGTAACTA